TTCGTAGTTACTGTAACGAAAAAGAAAACAACAAGCTTAGCGAATTGATATCGTATTTTCCGATCGCTTCGTCGATTACTCGCTGTTCGGAGGGCGCTAGAACTATGGCGGAGTATTATTTCCACAGAGTACGGCGAAGTATTTTTATACAGACCACAATGTAAAGAATTATTTTATTTTTTCAACATTCGAATCGCTTGGGTAAAGTTTGCGTTTCGTAGAAGCGAAATAATGGAAATTTAAATGCTGACGAGCGCAACTACGTTACGTAACTTTGTTATAGTACAAATCGTTTGTTTGTTTGAATAGGTTTTTGAAAATGAAGCTCAAAAGCGAAAAACTACGCACATATTAGCATAAAATAGATAGAAGAGACAGCATGGGGGTTAGACAAAGTGCATTCGCTACAAAGCGATTCCATAGTGAACTTCAAAAATGTATAGAACTGACAATAAGCTTCGATTAGTCACGTGTTTTTTGCGCGTTAGTTCCATACAATTTTGAACTTTGCTATGGCATCGCTTCAGAGCGAATGCGTTTAGTCTAGCCCCGCAGATTTGACTCAAATGTTGCCAAATGTAGAGAATAGGTAAAAATAGTAGAATTTATATAGATAAAGAAATTGGGGCTGAACATAACCTCGATACGTCCCATCTTATCTGGGTGACCTTTCAAGGGCATAAGTTCGAATACATTTCACCCTCATAAAATAAATTTAGGATTCTCTTGTGTCTATTTCGAGAGACAAAAATAAATTGTAAGAATAAAAGCAACAGAAGGAATAATTTTAAATAACGTACTAGAAGTTTCTTACATAATAAAATCCAATATTTGTAATTAAAAAAAAGTGCGTTACATGACTACAATATCTAAATTACATTACTTACTTACTTACTTATTCCGCTGGCGCCGGGACCCAAAGTGAACCTTGGCCCCCGATACAAGAGATCGCCAAAATCGCTTGTCCTGCGCCTTCTCCTGCAGATTTAGCTCTAGGTCAAAAAACTGGTAAATTACATTCAAACACACAAACCTATACATACCGAACAACATACGTTAACGTCAGTCTGGGGAAAGGAGCAACGTCTACTACTCAAGTCATAATAACAGCTCTGACGTGTAATTGCGAGAGAGCAAGGATTTTTAGCCAAGGAGCATTCATCTAGGCATCATTTAAGACATGTTCCTAGTTAGCCTAGTTGGTAATTTTGCTCTTGTCTTAACGAGTGCAGCGTGCAACGGACTGGCTAATGGCAGTATAGTTTCTGCGCTCTCTAAATGAAAAGGTCTATGTACACATTTATATACAAGTATTTATAAGCAGTAATAAAAATGTTTTGGTACAATGTTATCACAAATAACCCCAAAGAATTGACAGAAATTTAAATTTTGATGTTCATAAAACTAATTTTGATACTGGATGATGACAAAAAATTAAAGCTCTAAAGTAAAAAAAGAAAAAATTGTAGATTTATTTTGCTATTAGCTAAATTAAAAACGTTATATCAAAAAGGAGGAAAACTACACTTATGACCAATTACTCAGTAATAGCATTCGTTATTATAAAAGAAAAGCCGTGTTATTTCGTCGGCTGACGGCAACTAAATGAGGGCTGTGATATGTAGGAGTCCATTAACGGGTAAATATTTGTTCATTTGTCATGGAGCATTGCCTCCGGGACTTGCCGCCGCTTTTGTTGTGTTGATACGTTTGGTTTCGTAATATGAACCGCGATATCATAACAAACAAAATAAATGGATATTTTAACCCACGCTTACATTAAATATCGGCATTTTTTAACTTTCTAATAAATCACGAAAGCTGAAGTTGTTTTACAATTTCATTGTCTTTGTAAAGAGCAAATAAAGTACTTATACAGTATTTTCTTTAAATATAAAAAAAAAAATAAAGCAAGAATCTCTGCAAAATCAAAGAACAATTACAGAAACACAAAAGACTTTATTATTTTTCTTTCACAGTAAGTGAATTCAAGTTGAGATGAAAAAAATTAAAAGGACAAATAAAAAGTAGCCCACGGCTAAATGGGAAAAGAGTGTTTAAAACAAAAACCGTTGCTATGCTAACTGCAGAAGCGAAGCATTCAAAGTTGTCGGCTTTTCGTTCAGTTTATTGAATTAAAAAGAGACTGTTGAAATTCCGTAATAGTCTTTTAAATTTTTACACTTCATAATTACAAAGTAATTTTTAATTTTAATGTTAATCTTGGTAGAAAAAGAGTGTTTTTAAATTTCAATACAGCGAAGGCACTTTAAAGTTTCCTTTATTAAGCGTCTTACTAAAAGATTAACTACAAGGACAAAGTAATTGAAGATTAATTTCGAAAGCGCGTAGTTAAGATTAGTGTCTGTCACAATTGTTAGAAGCGTGTCGTGGACCTCTGACGAGGGACCCCACAAGACCCGCCTTTAGAACCCTGTCACAAATAAATCAAACGATTTATACAGAATTAATTTATGTAAAATAGATACAGTGAAACCTGGATAAGCGAGAGTCTGGTTCCGACGGACGACCTTCAAAAGCGTGAAAATCGGGTTACACGGAAACATCCTTGAGTGAGAAAATAGGGCGGTTCCTTGGACTCTCGCTTATACAGGTTCGACTGTATATATAAATTTACTTTGCAAATTATTTGAACTAAAATATTCATGACTTAGATTTCTGGTATTTGCCTAACTGTGAGATGGACTTTTTTTGAATTGGAGTTTTTGTTAAAGCTCTATTATAGTCGAACCAAATTAAATGATTTCTGTTAATGTCTCCTTCACTTTTCTGTTTGGTTTTTTGATTCAATAAACCGCGCAACTATTGGCAATAAGTTAAACACGAGTTAAGAGATAAAAGGTAGTATATGTCAGTAAAGATATTTTTTTTTAATATTTATTATGTTCAGTAAATGTTAGAAAAATAATTTTTTACCCATGTCTTTTGAAATGAACATCTGATCTACGAAATATTGAGTAATCATACTTTAATTTAAATGTATGTTCGCTATATTAAAATATTTACTGTCGTTTTTACAACACTGAAGATAAAGGATCTGTTTTGTGACGTAAGATCCTTTATGCAACCACTTAGAGTATCCGAGTAAACACGACATATACATGAAGTTTTCTCATTTTTCTTTTAGTTATGTGAGATATAAAGCACACTGCATTACGCGGCTGCTAGAGAGGGATTGAAAGATCCTAAGATATTTTCTCTTTTCTAACTACGTCACGTGTTGAAGCTTTTTATTATCCCTATCGTGTATCGCAAAGGAATTGCGTTTTAAGCTAGTATACACTAAGTCTGACTAGAATTTTATATACGGTAAGAATGCCTTGAATTATTCAGTTTTTAAGATAGGATAGACAAAATTAATTCAAGTGATGTTTGCAGTAAGGAATGGTAGGGTTCAAGCTTTAGTTATGTGAACTCTTAATTTGAGTTGGGGGCTACGGATATTTTATTTTTAGTATTATAATATTATAAACGTGAAAGTTTACGACGAATGGATGGATGGATGGATGTTTGTTCGAAGGTATCTCCGGAACTACACAATGGATCCTTATGAAATTTGTCACAGATGTAGAACATGGTCTAGAACAGTGGTTACCAAACATATTTTGTCTACTGCCCACTTTGAGAATAAATATTTTTTTAGTGCCCCCATATTTTCACATATTTAAAAACTACTGTAACTTCAAATTAAATTAATTAATTATTGTGACCTATATATGTATATTAACGGAGAATTCTGAACGAAACATTCACTATAACCCGCAACTTGAGACCTGAAGCGCCCGCAAGGGGGCGTTATCGCCAACTTTGGGAAAGACTGGTCTAGAAGAACACATATGCTACTTATTAATTTTTTTTTGAAAACGCGCGGACGGAGTTGAGCGACAGCTTTTCTTAAATAAGTGTTACAAATAATATTTATGATTGTTGAGCTATTATGAAAAAAAACATTGTTTTCACGTTAATGTCATGTTCACGAAAATAGTGGAATTCGAACCCAAGACAGTTAGATCATCCTGTACTCTTAACCAATAAGTTATTCAATTTCGTTTTTAACACCACGAGTCAAGCAGTAACGAGTGACACAGTGAGATATAACAGAATAAGATGTATCCCGTGTGAATTATTCATTAGAGTGGAGTGTGACAGTCGCAATGTATTCAACACGAGCTCATATCGCGCTCGTACGTGACGCAAATCTACTCAATGAGAGCAATGAGATACGTTGAGATGGCGTTATCACACTACCTACCTGCGCAACGACTGCTACTTTATCAAATTACCTTCTTTTATTCCCCCGCTTCGAATAGATTTCAATTGAAATTTAACTCTAGAATACATACAGCAATAGTAGGTAAAATTATCAATTCAATCCGGATGACTTGGTTCAGTATACTTTTGTTTTTCGATAATGATTAAAAGATTTGATTAGGGTCCTGTCACAATCGGTATCAAAAGTATTTTTATAATAAAGCACATTTTCCCCACATGATGATCCGTTATTGGGCTGGTATCAATGACGTCACGCTTCTTGATTGTTCAGAGCTTGCACGTTCTAATAATCTATGTATCAGAAAAAAATTCAACACTTAAAATATTATAAGAATGTATAGAGCAATACGCTTAAATTCCTCCCAGTGTTTGTAAACATCATTCGGGGGTACCAGAGAACGTTAATGCGGTTGGCGCGGTGCCAGTGTTGCCTTCTATTGCTCTTTTATTCCACACGTACGTAATAAAATAATTGGATTTTATGTGTATTGCGGTGTTCTTACATCGACGGACGTTGTTTTATTGCGCGGCTAGTTTATTTGTGCGAATTTGTTCGAGCGCACAAATAAAAGTTACACCAGTTTTGTAAAACTATTTGTTACTAATGAATGTGAACAATACTCGACTAAATATTTCTTATCTGAATCAAAAATTTAAGAATATTGCCTTCCCTTGGTATGCATTGTAAAGTTGTATTTTGTTTGCAGGAGTGACGCTTGCGGTGGAGGTCCACTTCGAAAATAAGGACAGCGGCTTCTTTCTGAAACATACGGCGAGATGGAGTGGCGCGGGCCCGCCGCCCGAGCCGGTCGGCACGGCGCTACCCGGCGCTCTGCTCTCTCTCGACCGGTTCACGGTACTCCAAGGCTCGGCGCCGGCTTCCGTTCGAGCTACATACGGCCCGTTCTCTACCAAACAAACTGTCCCAGCAAGATATGCTGTACCAGATCCCTTAGAGCCACCAAAAAGAAATGCCACCTTGGTAGAGCTCCAAGATGCCACGGCTCATAGACTCGACGTGTCTGCTCATCTTGTGTTTCGGGAGCTACCTCGTGATGCTCCTGTACTCCGTGTTCTCTTCCATACTGGAGGTGAAGGAGGCACGCGACGCGCCGCCACCCGACCCAGGCGTGTTTGCATCACACTACACGCGAGTCTCGGTTCCAAAACTCTCACTGCATCTTGCGGTCCCGAAGGTGAAGAGGGCGCTTGTTTGGCTGAGCTAACCGTTCCTGCTGCTTGGTGGCCTGCCGATGGAAAGGGTAAACGTCCGCCGAAGAACATACGTTTGGCGTACAGCGCCGCTGAAGCGAGTAACGGAGAGAGTCCGGAAGGAGCGTGTGGCAGGGTATCGGTACAACCGGCGTGGCCGCTGGGCTCCGTCACTCTAGCCGGCGCCCGCGCGGGCTACCGGGAGGCGCGGGCCGGAGACGCCGCATTGCTCCTGCCTCGCGCACCACTTTATCCTCATTCTCGTTTACATCTGCCATTTGTCGTACGACGTGATGCCAGCCACGCTATTGGGCATGTCGTTATAAGGTTAGTAATAAAAATTAAACGTATTTTTTGTTGTATTTACCTACTAATCATTAATAAACACCAAAACTGATATGAATGGGAGTATATAGTAGGTATTAAAACTTTATAATAAAAATGATGTAAACAACTTGCTTTGATAGATTTTATGGCACGTAACAGCTACCCATTTTAGTAAAACACATCTGTCAAATGGAATAAATCGCAATGCTCCGTGATCGTGGCTGGTGACAACATACGATGACGGAGTGGTCTCGAACCGCTGTCCGCTGTCACCGCATCTCTCGAGCTAACGTCAACAAACCGTCGTCTGTTTTATTCATGTACCAGGAATGCTTAGCACACCCGTCATCTCGATTCGGCTTATTGTTTGCTTGTACAGTTTCACGTGGGCGGTGTCGTTAAATAAATACCGCCTCCGCCAAATGGCACCAACGTGAGAAGTAAATTTGTTAAGTAACTCTGATAATGGCTTTTTAACTCTCTCGGTAAATTTTAACTACCGTCGTTAGATTGAAAATGTATGAGACACTTGACGACGCTCCACATTCACGAAGCCCACGGGCGGTGGAAAATTCAAAAGTGGCTTGCACTTCATGTTGTTAACCTGGATGTGCCGTTTAAAAAGTTTTGCATAGTCACGCTCTAATTTATATCAAACCAAGTTTTCACAAAACGCAAAAAGTTTTATAGCATGTTTCGAATGATTTCTTAAAAAGAGTAGATTAAAAATAACTTATCCTAGTAGAATCTGTAACGAAAGCTCGTGTAACTAAGCATTGATTCTAAATTCAATGAAAACATAAGGTGTATTAAAATTAACTATTTTCTTCCTAACATGAAAACAAAAGTATAAGTGATTTATGGTAGTAATTTTGATAAGAAAAATAACAAACTTGTAAGAGAACATTCTTGTTTACTTACTCTTTGAGATTTAATGTTAACGAGATACCATTTAATTATTAAAACACGCTTTCCAATTTCTACTGTAAGAAAACTTTCCTCGTAACTTATAACTATATCTGCAAGTAATAGAACTCACGTATATCTCTACATACATTGCAACGAGTAGATATCGCGACCAGCTCAATTATCATAAGTCATGAATTTTATTACTCTTTGTTAGGTACGTATCATAATGCGGCAGACGATTTTCCGAGAAAATAACACAAGCTTTAATTTTATTATAAGAATATTTAGTTATCTCTATGAATTCGTATTTAAATTATAATACGATATTATTTAAAGACATTGCGCCACCAGTTAAGTTGCGTAAATTTCCGCAACAAAAAATACAGACTGTTTTATAATTATTGTAAAATAACTAATGGTTTTTACTAAAAAGTTCTTGCATATATCGCTCGCTCGTCATATATGCTCGAATTTTCCTATTATTCATCTAACAATGAAAAAGCTGCGACATACAAGCTTTATTATGAATAATTTATATTAATAAAATATATGAATTACAATGCGGATGGAAAATGTAAATTATTTCTTAGAGTATAAATCGCCAGTTACACTACTACTATTATTTCTATGAAATTTTTTCTAAAGAACACGATAGTTTAAACAAGGGTGAACAATTTTGAATTTGGAACACATCATTTAAATTAATTTATGTTTTTTAAATACTTAGGGAACTTTTTAGCATATGAGTTTTAATAAGTTTTGTGTTTTATTAGGATGAAAGTAAAGTCTGGGTTGAGGTTAGTCAGCGTATCAGCCGCCAACTCGCGCTGGGCGGTGACCGCGGAAGTAAAGCCTCGCGCCGCCACTGTGACTGCCACACGTCTGGAGCAACCGCTACGAGATGATGATCAACTCGAAACGTAAGTGTGGCATCATCTTTATTTATTTGATATTTGAATGATATTTTTTAATCTGTATATTGGTCTGGGAAATCATTTCTGAAACTCTCTTTGTAATATCAAATTGTGTAATTAACCGATTTAAAGAATTATTCTGAATCGAAGATTTTTTTCAAAGATAACGAACTAAAATAAAATAAAATAAAATAGAATTAATTATTACTTTTTAATGTGGATTCCATTTATTTTATTCCTTTTTATTATATGTACGAGACAATTTTTCTTGTTAAAGAACTTCGTATTTCTGTTTGCAAGCTATAAAAATGCAAAGAATCTCAATTCAATTTTTACGCCGTGTTCAATTTCCCTTCTTTAATATAAATGAAGGAATGAAATTGAACATTTCTTATGCCGTCGTTATTGTGTTCACCATAGAATTAACAGTCCACTTTTAAATTTCTTTCAAATATTTTTTTTAGTGGTGCCAATATTGCATACAATATTTTAAAGTATAATACATTCTTAAGGAATGTATAATGGGTAATAAATATATCCATCAAATCAATATTTTAGTTTTGCAAAATTTGTTGTCATACCAAGATTATTTAAGTCACTGTCCTTTCGTGAATGCCAACCTTTAATTATTTACCTAGGGAAAGTATTTATACGGTCGGCAAATTGTGAATAAATAAATATGCAGTTTGCCGACTCTTTACAATTTTTCTAGGTAAATTACAAACGAGCCGTAATCACAATGAGACGGTGACATATATTCCAATAAAGTTGGTCTAGCTTTATTGCATCTGGGAGTGTAGTGATTGGCATGATTCCAGTGCAAATTTAAAGGATCCGTTCCGTATCTATTTTATTCAACCTTGCGTGAAACCGTTTGAATTTCCCGTTGTCCCAATGTAGGTCGACTGTCCTGGGAAATATAGACACTTAAAAAATAGCTAAATTTAAAAGGAATACAATTTTGTTTATTTCCGACATTATAAAACGATTTAAAATAAACCAGTATGATTTTTTTATAGGAATAAATGAAATTTAAATGAAACACGAAAGAGATTTTTTAGGAAAATGGAAGATTCTCATTATTCTAATTAATATTTAATTAAATTTATAATAAACGTATTCCAATGTTCCATGCTCGGTTAAAATATCCGTAATAATCTGCAGCTTTTGGTCTCTATTTTGTTCGTAGCCATGTCGCGATGTAATTTGCGGTTTGGCACAATACAGCGTAAATGAAACTGAACACGAATTGTTTTGAAGTCAACATTAATTAACTGCCATTATCATTATGTTTTCATTCAAATATTACGTTGTTTTAAATAATTTACTTTTTGTTTTTGTTGGTTAATGATTTCAAAAATAAACATAGATCTAAAAAGGGCTTTACACGTTGAGCAGCTCGTGGTTTTGGTAATTCAATTTCCCCATCCACGATCCCATGGAGTACGTGTGTGGCGATTTTTAAAAAGGCAAAATATAGCAGCAAATGTTTAATTAAAAAATTATTTTGTCCAGGGATATGGAAGACACCGTTGGCGCCGGAGGTCCAGGATGGGAGGAGATCCTCACGTGGCTAGTCGAAGTGGGCGCTGAAGGCGAGGGGGACGCTGAAGGGGCGGAGGGAGAGTCTGGCCGCGGCACAGCGCGCTTGTCCTGGTCCGCCAAGGTCTCATCAGCTCCTAGTTCAGGCTCTACGACCGAAGAAACGCCTCACGAGCACAGAGTCAACACGCGGTTGGATATCGAAAAGGATGATATACAATCTGTTCTTCCAATATCTAAGGTATAAAGAAAATAATTTAAGTAGCAAAATATTGACAGTAAAGGTCCCTTACTAATAAAAACATGGCATAAAATACGTGTTTGAAGATCCTTAACTGGTTTCCTTAAATCTTCATTGTTATGCCAGTCGTCTTTATTAAGAATTACAATAATTAAAAGAATTTGTATTCTTCGTAATTAATGGAGCGAGAAAGACCTTTCCGTTTATTATCGGAACGATACTTTATTGAGTAAAGGCTTTGGTAAATGAGTCATTAAAAGCTTCCTAAATTCCCTATTATACGACAAACTTCGGGGTCGAGTAATCATTATTCTGATTGTGTTTTCCCCAGAAATTGCAAAGATTTATTTGGTTATCTGTAACGTGGTTACAAATATATTTTTTTTCTTAATACAAAGAAAAATGCTTTTTTTGACTTTGTTTATAAGCTGTAGTTGTATTTATCAGTGACATTACTAATAACAAATCTATCAATTATTTCACACCTAAAAAGTTCACCATCATCAGTCATAAAATTAGTGTATTTTAAAATGTTAAGAAATATAAATAATTTCAACCAAAATTTAATTGTGACAAAGTATAACGCTTACTCGTTTAATAACTTTGTTGTAAACAAAATATAAAGACGAGGTTTTCATTAAACGTAGCCCTGAAACTAAAAATAGAAAAATGAAGGTACAAGGGGGAAACGTGGAGCCGAAACGTTCCAAATTTAATTTAAGTAATGGGGTAGGTAACTTTGAAATAGGTACACTTTACTCAATAGAGTTATTTAACCCGACTTTTAAATACTTTACGTGACAATTTACGCAGGTTTTTCGAGTACATTACAAAGTAATAAGTTTATGAAGTCGTTGTTAATGAAACCAACCTTACTGAAAACAACTGACATTATTGTATTCTCCAATATTTGGTAGAGATAAAGTAAATTTTATAAGGTCTCCCTGCGCCATTTTTCTGCCCTTGCGAACTATAAGGTACAGGAATTACGTGTCGATGATATTGTAGTAACTCTGTAAGAAACGCGTGCATTTCTTTTCGCTTACCATATATTATAGGTTTTTGGAAAACGTAAACATAACAACTTAACACTAACTATAAAGCACAGAAGAAAGTTTCTCACATTTAAGTATATATTTTAGGTCATATTTTGTACATATTTTTAAATCTAATAACACAATTTTCTTCACGAGACTGAATTGAATTATCCATACATGTCTAAGTCCGACCCTTTTCAATTATGAACGTGCTAACGTTGTTAGAGAATTATATTTGTTGAAAAGCTTATCGGATGTAAGTGACGAGATGTTTAACCTATTCTAAGCAAAGCCAATGAAAATAGTAACTCCTCTTAAGAGATATCTCCTCCTTTGTTCTCTATCTGTTCCGTTTTTTATCGATTCTATGACTTGATCCCTGGGTGACTGATTACGGCATATCTAAAGTAAATAAACAACATCATGAAAACTAAGATATTTACCGTTTTCGACACGAATACTTAATGTTAGTTCAATAAAAGTGAAACTAAGTATTCGTAAACAAAGTAAAGTTGTAAAGCGAATAACGTTTACTGAACTTTCCTGGGTTAAAAGGTATAAACACTATAGAATTAATGCTTCGTTATTAATTAAAAATCAATCCCCCGAAATATAAGAATGTCAAATTATAATTTCAAATGAGCACTTAACCACATGATTTACATAAAACTCGATGCTATTTCTATTCAAGGGAGTGTAAATAAATTAGGTAGCGCAATATTAACGTGCACGACATTTTATCACGTAATGTTTCGTGTTTTGTTTAAACTGAACAATGTTCAACATAGTCGTAATGTTTCGTGTTTTGTTCAGAACTTGGAGACAGAACACAATCGTAATGTTTTGTGTTTTGTTCAGAACTGGGAGGTGTTAAACACGGCTGTGCTGACTGGGCGGCAGGTATCACAGGCAATGAAAGTCCTGATCGTCTCTCAAGCCGGCCAGGTTGCTGACGTCACACTCCAAAGCTCCTGCCACTCGGAAGATGAAAGCGTGCTTAAGGTAAGTAATTCACTTCCGAATCCACTAGATCAAATCAGGGGTCGGTTTTTAAGATAAGGCTAAGGTTCGGAAGCAGTAATAAAGGAAATATGCACTATTTGTTTTGTTTTTTTTTTCGAAACACTTTTAAGAAAACATGTTGTCATCCCTCATAGTATCTTTGAAAAAAATAGAGACAGCAATGTTTATACTGCTGTTTTAGCAGCAGAAAGTTTTGTAATTATTATGTAATCTCTATGATTAAAAGTAAAACAATTGGTTATGATTAATTTATTTCTTTTGCTACAAACATTATGCTTTTATTAAATCGGATAAGTAAAAAACTTCCCTACTTAGCTATTGTTGGAAAATTCTCGAATGTTATTGAAAGAAGAAAAATTCGAATACTTCTACGATTCCAACCACAGAATGGCCATTCCAATAAATGTCGATCGTAAAGATGGCCCACTATAGCTAGGCTTACGGACGCTTCAATTTTTATATTTCTTTTTTTCTAGTTTTTATGCAGTCGAAATTCTTGCAAACCAGTACTGAATTTACTTTTTTTTTTAGTTTATTATATAGAATTAAAGTTATAAAAATACATTCCAGAATATATCCGATATTGAATGAAGGGGATTATATCTGATATTAAGGAAAATCAAATCTCAGACATAACTCGTTTTTCGAATTTTATTCATTTCTCACAAAGTAAGCCAATACAATGACAGCAAATTACGAGGATTACTCTTAATATTTAGAAACTACCAATATGGATAGAACAACTTTAATTTTTTCTTAAATGCTTAGTAGTGTTTATGTATTTTGTTATTATATTTTATATCCTACTCCATTAAAGTTTTAGGTCTTTGAATAAAGTATAAAGTTTCAGGTTAAAGCAAAAGGGCACTCTAGGGAGAGTGAAATGTCAGCCGTGACTTGTGTTGCATAGCGAGAACTTGCTTCTATTATAATTTAGACTTTTAAATTATTTCCATGATAATTATTTTTAAATTTAAATAAAAACAAACTTATTAAATAAAAAAATTTATTTTGTTTAAAAGAACTTAAAAAAAGAAAACGTATTCGTCAAGACGATTCATACGAGCCCAAACTCGATGAGGTTGTGTCGTTTCATTGCACAGATCAGCACCAAACATAATATTGCATTGTCAAGTTATTTACACATGTAGGCAAATTTCAGCTCAAACAGTAATTGGGAGCAAACCGGGATCGTGAACCAAATTTAATTTGCGAGATTTGATGCCAAACATCAGGATACGTAAGAGCTTGTAATGAAAAGATAGGGTACACTTTTCATCCTAAATTAGATATTTACCATCTAAAAAATATTCAACCTTTCGTTAGATTTTATACTCGTTCTCGAATATTATATGAAAACATTTTGTATACAATCAGATAAAGATACTAAATAACTGTATACATTTAGGTAATGCTTTGGCAAGTTGCCTGATGGCCTGTGTTCTTTAGAGAGGAGCAAATCTCTTTATACGTAGCGGTTTGCTCGCTTATATTTTGTAATGCAAGAAAGAGCGAACCCAAGTATCTATTAAGTATGTTAATGTTAGTTTACACGATATACAAACGAATATGGGTCATGAATGTCACGATATTTTTCGGCTAATATAGATAAATTAAGATGATCTTATAGCCGTATTTACATTAGCAGTTTCAATTAAGAGGGCCAGTCTTTCTTTATAGTATGACTAGTGGTAGCACACGACTTCGTCAGCGCAAAATTAATGCGTCTATAATGTGCCCGCGTGCATTAGGTACGAGTCCCAAAATCAGTCCAGTCGTTCCGAAGATTACCAGGAACAAACGAGGCTTTGCGGACAGACATACAGAAAAACAAACGTTTCAAAAATTGGTTTACTTTTTCAGCTACGCAAATACAATACGTATTGCGTACGTATACGAAATTTGATTTTCGACGTTACATACAAACTACACTACACTATAGTACGCGAAACAGCAATCCTGCACACTACCTTCTTCTGTTTCGTTTCTATCTTGTTTTAATGTGTATTTAATTATGTTTTATACGTGTGTTTAAATAATGTTCGTTTGTAGGTGTCATCGTCGTGTAGCTCCGTGTATGTCGACGGTTCTGAGATCCGGGGCTCGTCGAACGCTTCCGTAATCGTGAAGTACGGCACATATACCGGTCTAGCGCGCTTCACTGTCTGGATGCCAGAGTACCCACTCGAGATCGACGTCGACGACAATCGACTCTCGCAAATCAAAGGTATACAGCATGTTTGGAAAGCACTTGTATTACTCGATAAAAGTCATATAAGGGTGTAAAATGTTTGAATTGTATATTTTTTCATTTCTATAAATACATTGTTTTATTGGAATGAATTAAAATAATTATCATTTACTTAATTTGAAAATAAACGTTATTTTAACTTTATGGTAATCTAATCTACAGTTAAATACATAAAATCTAATGATATCTGAACATATCACTTATGTAAATATAGAAAGTCATAAAGTGAAAATGTAAAAGATTTAAAATGACGACAGCTTTTAAAAAAAAACTAAGTAAATGTCTATTCACATACGCCAGCTGCGGCTCTGGGAATTTGAAATAAAGTGCAGTATAGTTGTGTAGACGTGGTATTATATATAAGTACATAAGAACATTAAATTATTTTATGTTTTATTCTACGTTGTCTTTATGTAATATTATAAAATAAAATATTCTTTTGTTATTATCTATTCTCTTTTCTGCTCTTTATAGAAAATATATTGGATAAAATAGTTGCATTATCTAATTATGTTCGTATATCTTCTCTCAGGTTGGAAAGTACCTGATGACGCGAACGCTAAGGACAGACTGAAGCGCTCTCTATCGGCGAGAGGATGGGGCGGCGCGCGACCCGACGGCACCAACTCACTCACAGAACAACGAGCCTGTCGGCTGAGATATCAGCAGAGCAACGTCGAGGTTTGTTAAGGAATTCTAACTATTTTAACATCAGAAATATCGATAATAAATTCAATGGCGCTGTAGCATATTTGTTTGTCCAGGTCCTTTTGTTTCAGTTATAACTATATAACTTTATCGGTGACGTCAAAGTAGTGAGGTATGGATTGCAGATATTGATAGTTATGTTTTACACGTAGGTGTATGCTCGGTTCCTGGCGAAGGACCACGACTCGGGTCGCGTGTCTTACCTGGTGTCGCGACGTACGTGGCTGCAGGTGACAGAGCTGGTCTTGGCGCTGCTCCGTGTCTCCGATCCTCGTATTGCCACGCTAAGGGACCGCGTGCTGCAAGGACGTAGTACCGGACGTACGGAAGTGCAAGTCCTCTCTCCTATCACTGGTAAGTGGACTTACGAGCTTATGAACTTAATGAGAGCTTTTTTAAGCAGAGATTGCAACTACTCAAGAATATTTTTAACAATAAGTACGGGCCACTGATGTACTTACCCTTTCGTAAGGATGAAGTTATGTTCATTAAATTCTATTTTTTATAATATGCAATGTTAAGCGGTTCGATAATGATGTCTTTCCATTGCAGGTCGGGTGATTGGTCTCCGTGAAGTGCGTGTGGTGAACGACAAAGTGACGATCTCTCGTCTACTGGTGCGCGTCATCTCCGGCCTGCAGCTCAACATCTCTCCGGACAGTGCTATTGAGAACGGATATGTCTCCGAAACAACCGTCACCAGGCGACTGACTGCTCAGTACCAGGTAAACTTTTTTATTAATATTAAGTGTTTAAATTCACCATAGAGGTGTTGTAATAAAATAATTTATATTGAACTCGAACCTCAATGGCAGGTATTCAAACAGTTGGAACGTGCAATCATTTTAGTTTAAGCCTCCTTGGCTCATTCATTAAATATCGAATAACCTTGGCCTAAACTGCTAAGAACGAAATAAAAACTTTAACGACTTCGCACTTCAGCCAGAGAAAATGGCACGCTTTCATTTCTTTTGAAAAAACGTTAGAAGTTTTTCACATAATTCATTACTTTTATAAATATAAAGACATTCGTAAATACGTAAAGTTTTAGGCCTTTTAAGCGTACGACCGTGAAAATTCAGACATTTCTCAGTTATAAGAGTTGTAAGGGATGAGACTAGATTTTGTAAATTTCCCCAGAGATCCGAACGGATAGGAAAGTTGTTTGCGGAATTACTTTGTAACTTCTGAGGATACAGCGTACAGGATTACTTTTAAACTGGAAACGTTTCCATTTGATGAGTTTCTTTTTCGTTTACAAAAAAATAAATTGTGATTAATCATACTACAGACCTGAGAATTGTTTAATGGCAATGAAGGGATAATATCATACAAGTTTGAAGTCAAATTATGGTACATAGTACAGTTTGGTCTAATTCATACATATCTATAGTTGATTTGTCGTTGGTTTCTGAGCCTAAAATCCCTGTTTAAAATGTATCGTAATCCTTCTCTTATTTTTCATAAAACAGATATAACATTTGTTTATAGAAGGATTTAGGTCTCAGAAAACAACAATTGATGAGAATTATCTGCACTAAGTAATTTTTAAATAAACATAGAACGACTACAACTGTGACAGTAAAACTTCTTTATAAGAATAGATTAGTCATCAAAGAGTAGAGAAAATTACGACCAATTTAGAACAAAATGACGACTTTCTGCTTTGCGAAGCTTTTCCTGCGTGTATTTCAAAACAAACGTCATTATATGTATAATTTTCTTTCATTGCTAATGTTTGTACATTGACTGTGAGCTGAACATGAATATGATACAATATTTGGAATTAAGTGTACTAATCGTAATATTGCGTGACTCCTTTTCGTTTGCGGTCAACGGAGGTGACCTATAACAATATAACTTTTGACTTGAGTTGGAATATAACTTAAAAATCAAAACACAATCGAACATTAAAATTCAACTGACGTGACACTCGTATGTTCATCATCACAGCTCACTATACGTCCCCGCCCAGGACCTCGGGGCCTACCCTAAGTTAGGAGTGATTCGGTCATAGTCAAGCATGCTGGCCTAGTGAGGGTTGGTTGACTTCACACATGTCTTTGAATTTCTTGTTAGATATGTGCAGTTTGCATCACTATATTCTCCTTTACCGTAAGAACTGGTATGTATTCTAATTTACTGTTATTGCCATCCCCTTCAATCTCTTTGACAAAATAGAGATAAGATTATGCGTTAATACATTTGTCAAGACAGTGGAATTCTGTTATATATTATAGCTTATTTTCTTACAAACTTTATTAAAATTAAAAAAAATGCTTCACTAGATAAAAGAATCGATCATCTCGAGAGACGTCGAGGAAATGGCTACTAAAGAAGAAACATTTATAAAGTTGCACATACAAGTGTTCAGTTCTTAAATTCACTGTCATTATGTTACACTTTTGAACATTCAATAGTTGAATTGCTGATGTCTTAAATAATATTCAGTATGAATGAAAATTTCATATTTTTATTTTATGGCCAATTTACATAGACTTACTTCATTATTATGTTAATAAAAGGGCTGATTAACCGTGGGTTTCTGAGATTTATGATATCATCTTCATCAGCATACTAGACGTCCTCAAAGTGGGGAAATCTAAAAACAAATTGGTCAATGATGGTATTCGAATCAAAGACGTAATTTTTGATAAATTACGTTAAAAGTTATAAGCGTATACACAATATATAAACACGCAACAATCATAGCTACAGTTAAAACAGCAACAGCGAAAACGTTGTTTGTTTATTCTGAAATACGAAATAGATATTCTCTCTAAACTTATTTTTATATTTCACCACGCCCTGATTGTTTTGTTTATTTGGATTAAAAACGATGTATACCATACTTAGCTAAAGGCGATTTTATTATTTATCAGCCGATATGTTTTTCTTTTCGTAGCTAGGAAATATTTTATTGTGCGTGAACAAAAGAAACAGAGGTTCTTTGTAAAAATGTTTGAGGATAATTCGCATGAGAAAACAAGGAAGGTTTTATGTTTTATTTCAAACATGATTTTTTTGGGATCGAGTATAAGCGTATCACTCTTAGGTCTATAGACTGTAGTTAATATTTTCCTTATATATGACGAAACTGATTTACTTTCTCAACTGGTGTACACTTTTCCTATTAAGATTTCAGTCTTCCGTGTCTCCCCGTATATGTTACAGTACTTCATTTTTTATGTCCATGATTATCTAAAAAAATTAAAGTACATTATGGTGGGTACTTATAAAAAAAATTGCAGGAAGGCTTACTGGACATAGACATCGAGTTCTCTGATGGTAGCCATACAGCGCTTCGAGACGTGGCCGTATCCGACTACTACCTGTTGGTGGAGAGCCTCGACTCCGAAGTGGTGGCCTTCGCGCCAATGCTGGCCTCGAGACATCCACGCGTCATTGCCGTTGGAGAAGGTACAGCTTTACTTCCATATTTAAAAATATTTTGTAATCTTTAAAATAGATGGCGATATCATAATGATGGATCATCTGTTATTTTACTCATAAAATTAACAAAAATGTAAGTAAATGATAATTGATCCAGGTAGTGGCGAACTGCTTCGAGTGACATTATTAACGCCGGAACAATGCCGAGTGGGTCCGTTACGTCGAGTGGCACTCCCTGGCAAGGGTGACGCTAAGACCCCCGCTAACATTAAAAACATCCCCGGTGCCCTGGCTACCGCGGCTGCCAGCGTGGACGTAGACTTCAGCGGGAGCGACCTACCGCAGCGGCCGGACACGCCACAGAATGATGATATCATGGCACGCGGAGGAATCAGGAGCGGCATGTCCGATCTAAGTGACGTATTAAAAGGTAATGTTTCTTTTTTTTAATCGACTATTTCTTTAAGGCCAGCAACGCATTTTGATTACTACGAGTAGCTTGTACATAATACAGTTATATTTACTAGCTCTGTCGTCAAACTGAGAACATTTGAATTATTACAGGTTTCTCTCCGTTCAAAGACGAGAATAACCACGAGCCAACGGTGCAAGCACAACAGTATGGCTCCATTTTCCGAGGCGGCAGCGCTCGGCCCCGCCCCCCGCCTCACATGACGCCGCTTGAAATCGGTAAATATTATGTTTTAATTTAGTGAAAGTAGGCATTCACTATGAAGAGTGGTCTAAAAGAACTGATTGCAAGAAACTTAAAGTATGGTGAAAGCTCCTAAAAAAGTTAACTCAATTACCAAGTGGTAAATGTATTTTGCGTATTTATTGTTAAGTGAATTTTATTATGAATAGTAATTTATTTTTAAGCGCGTCATATTATCTTTCAGGAATGTATGTCCTGCTGGGAGCTTTTTGTTTTGCAATTGTGGTAAGTATTTTTTTTATTTAATTATAGTAAGGCCTTATGGAACAAGTGAATATACCTTACTCTTTATATTTTATTTCGCAGATTTTCGTAGTATCATGCGTGGTATACGCTTCTCGTCTCAAACCCGCTAACACAGAGCTAGGTATCGGCGGCGGACGCTCGCTACCCGCGGTAGCTGAAGGCGGGCGTCTGCAGGTAGCGGGGCTAGTCGGTACTACCCTGGGCTTGGCTAGAGACAAACCGTCTAGGGAATCAACAACCAACGCTCATGATTGGGTTTGGCTAGGTAAGAGATTTTTAAATGTACAAATAAAGGAACAACATTTTTCTATTTATAAAGGTAGTACTAGATAGATAGATAGATAAAGCCTTTATTCACTGACAATAATAAACTTAATATTATAATATTGACAAAGGTAGTAAAGAATTATATTAAATCGACTATACATTTATAAAGGGACCGGGATTATCAGGGATTTTTATACTGATTCTATTAGCATTTAGGAAGGAGACTTGTAGAAATATGTAGGTAAAGTGAATACAGTGTAACGCGACTAGTCTTCGAAAATTTTCAGTTTCATCTATTCTAGTACAATTAAACCACTTATAACATTTTTTTTTCAGGCCGTGCAACAATAGAAAGAAATGGTAATCGACAACTGGCGAACCGTAACTCCAGCCAACCGATCGATAAAAGTAACAACAACGAGATGAGAATCACATCTAATCCTCTCAACTATAATTACGTTGAACCCGATGACGCTATACGAGAAAATGGCAACGTCATGGTCACCAGTTTCGACAACCCTAATTCTATCGAGCTGCCGTCCCAGAATGAGAAGACCAGGACCACGGATGACAAGACCAGGATAGAGGATAAGAACAGGGTGATAGACTCGACGACGTACTGCAAGAAGCCGGCTCGACACGCGCGACAACACTCCGGAGACGGTCATTGGCAGTAAGATTATGTCGACATCATTTCTTGAATGTTCACCGCTTTAGATGCTTCTATTGCCTAATCGAATTACATAAAACAACTCGCTAAAAAATAGAATAATTACCCTTTTAAAGATTTATTTAAAAGTGTGTTTGTACTGGAGTTAAATCTCAATCATTAAATTGAAAACAAAAAACGGTTTGCCTTTTACTTATTCGATTTGGCAAGTGGAGATTTCCTTAACACGCTTTATACATGTACCACAATTATACGTAGTCAAGTGGGCACTAGGCTACTTGCTGTAGATTTCTACTATACGTTTCAAATGAGAATGTGCATAACTATGACCTATACCTGTCATTAATCTCTTAAAAAGATTTGTTTTCCTGACCCTACATATTTCGATTGCTAGCTATGACGTCATGATATCGTGTGGGGTTGCACTTCTTATTTAAAACGTAGTGTAGGTTATAATGTATTGAACGTGTGATTGTATGTGCAGGGTGGATGCAGCTGATCTTGACGAGTACCGACCCCCCGTGCCGCCGCACAGGCACTCCTCAGCTACACAACCCCAGATACCTGTCCCGCCACGCAACAACAAGGTCAGTTCATAACATAACTTTTAGTCGTTACTAAAGATTTGAAGGTTGGATCTTTGTATTGATCTGATTATAAGAGTATGTTACTAACAAGTTAATTTCCAACTAAATTAAGATTTTCTATGTATGCTACAGTGAAAGTTGCTAATAAAAGATGTTGAAATATTCCAGTCCTTGCCAGAAACAGTCATGCCACCGACGCGACGCAGCCACTCACGCGCGCACCACAAAAGACACGACCGCGACCGCAAAGACGACCGCAACGATGACCGCAATCCCGACCGCAATCGCGACCGCAATCCTGACCCCGAACCCGACAACGCCTCACCCGAACATGCACGACGTCCGGACCGGTAAGAAACTTAGTCAAACTGTAGTTACTTTAAGTCAAAACTAAACAGGATAGTTTTAGGCACGTAGAGTGCATTCAGCTAAACATTCGTTCAATTATTTCCTGAACTAAATGAGCGAAAGATAGTGCAAAAGTATGTTTATCTACCAAAAAATATTGTTTAATTTTTTGTTTTATCTTATTACAGAATTATTGATTTGAACGCGAGCAACACCCCGTACATGATGAATCGAGAGCCGAGCGAGTACTGCGACTACCCCATGCACTACGAGGCCGAGTTGTCCGAGCTGTCCGAAGACCCGGTGGAGAAGCTGAGCAAGGCGGACTGTGCTCGCCTCTTCGAGTTTGACAGCGACGCGCCGCTCGTTCTCGAGAACAAGGACTACCGCGAGGTCATCGGTCTCAACAGAGGCACCGACGACTCACGCCGCACCTTCACTAAGCCCGACAGCCCCGACTACATGCTCGACTCTGGAATTGGTAAATATATTAGTATTATCTCTTTAATCCTATCCCACTCTGTATTTAAAGTTTTCACAATACATTGTCATTATCATTGTTTTGTATCATATCTTTCTTTTATATTTGTTTTTTGATAAGTGATGTGTAATTTTCAGGTTTGCCCGACGTCCAGATGAGACACAAAAAGAACAAGGAATCAAACGTTCAGGGAGATTTCGTTGAACCCGGCACTCAGATTAAAGGTGAGTCTGTTGTACTGGATTCGTTATAGTTTTCGTTATATTGTGTATCAATAGCACATGTAATAAATAAAAATAATTTCACAGGGAGCACTTCCCCTGAGGTAAAGCGCGCAACGATCGTCGGCAATCCGATGTACTCGCGACGCGCCGCGGCGGGGGCTGTGGGGACAGACGTACAGGCGGACTCGCTCGGCCTCGACGACCTGCATATGGACTACGACCAGATCATGCACTACTTCCACAACCTCAAGGTATAGAGCACGCCGACCCCACGCTTCTAGTGTAGACGTTGCTGTGTCGCTTGCCAGGCATCGATACACGTCGCGGGCCGCCGCGTCTCGCCCCTCAACCTCATCGTATCTAGCCCTTCTTAGCCATCTCGATGTTTAATGTACTCTCTTATGAACGATACAGCCTGACATTTTGATGCATTTAAAATTATATTAGCATAGTATTTTATATAAGTACGTTTTATACGTTTATATTCATTATTACGCCATGCAGTATTATAATTCTATAGGTAGGTAGCTCGTAGCAAATTACGATTCTCGCGCGCATATGTAATCGCGTACTTACAAAACTCGAACCATCCATTAAATTTATCATTAACGTAGACACCAGCTAACTAATCACTAGATTAGACAGTAGAGTGTGGATTTCACTAAACCTGTAACATAACAAATAGATATAGCCGCAAATATCTGATTTATTTAAAAATCTTTCGCAGGAATCGAACGCCTGAGTAGAGCAGATCATTGCAAAGATCCGGCAGATATTGTCTACGTTTAAATATCAGCATGTCGTGAAAGCTTCTCCGATCGAGGTATACGATGCGGGCGCGGAGGCGCGCGTGCCGGGGGGCCCGGCGGGGGCAGGGGATAGTACCGTTGACGCTCTCAACAACAACGCGCCCGCGCAAGCGCACCTCTACGAGAATATTGACGGCCACAGAGTCGCGCCTACGCAAATGCTTTGCGACTCTATCGCTCACAAAAATAATTTCATGAAACGTCAATTGAAATTTTTACTCGACCATCTGAGCGAGGCCTACGAATGAGTGCTGTCAACGTATTATCCTCCGTACAATATGTGTCGACATGGATCCTTGCAGTGATCGAAATCCAAAACTATACTAAAATGTAAACTGTTTTATACTAATATAGCGTTAAACGTATTTAATCTAGTCATCTACAAAGCTGCACATTATTTATGATGTATTTAATAACTTATCGTGTGCATCTAGTTAAATAATACTCGTAATTATGTCAATACAAATATTAATGTAAGGGAATTGTATACACGCGTTGTTTTGTCTGTATGTTAATATAACTTATTGAACGGGCTAATTAAGTATCCACGTTATATCTACATATGAATGCGCGAGCCTTGACTGTTGTCGCTATATTCCCGTACCAAATATAAATCTTGCATTTTTCCAACACCCTGTACATATGTTTCCACTAGTAATGGTAAAAACGCTACCTCACTTATATGTATGTATTCTTAAATTAGAGCTTAGCCGATACTCGTATTTCCGAGCATGTATTACACTAATTGAAATTGTAAATCTTTCTTATATATGCGTTTACTACAGTTATTTAATTTTATTTCACTTTCTTCGACATTATAACAAAATACAAATGAAATAGATATAAAGACTGCATGAAGCCAGTGCTTAGAATGTTATTTATAGTTAGTATTTCATAGCTTAAGACAGAACTAGTCAAATATAACCCGTGAGCTAATTCATTTGCTCAAATCTTGATGCGAGTCTCACAAAATCTGATATCGATGTTAGTAAGCTTACGGCTTGGAAACATTCCTTTGTGATTACCACCGCCTCTCTTTAATATGTGTACTAAAATAATCGTAGTCTAGTTGATACCAACTATATTGACAATTTTAACATTTTGTCATATTTAACAAAAGCTTTGTCAATTGTCTAAATCCGATATACAAAAATGGAATTGTGATAAAATGACTGCTAGGATTGATTTTAAATGCGGTCGATTTTATAAATTAAAATGCCATATCATGAGACCTAGCGCTTGTATTATAACATGTAAACACTTAATATTAATTTATTGAGAATGTAAATTGCATATATCGGTAAGATAGCTCCTTAGGCTTTGTAAATATTGTTATGACGTTATATAATTTATAGGTATTCATGTGGAGGCGACGATGCGGGAATAGAGAATATTTTTAGTAGAGTCGCTTGACATTCTATAAAAAGCGTAGTAATGCACTCTGAAATGTGGTAAAATTGTCTATTTAAAAACAAGTATCGATCCTAAATGCTACACTCCGGAATATAAAAAGAGAATATTGACCAATATTATTGTAAAACATATTTATGGTCACAATATTTCCAATCTGTGACAGAGAAGGCGCTTTACATTGCAATCAATCTTTCTCTTTCTATTCGGTGTGTAAAATTTAAGGTTATGTACTTCACTTTAGTCAATGTTTTAATGTATTTGTGTATTTAATGTGACCGTATTAGAAATAACAATCAGTCAAAAATATTAATTATTATTTAGCTAGACGTTCAGTAATGTTAAACTGTTTATTGTTAACTGTCGAAACACTTATTACTTATATTGTCATCCCTTTCATTATCTTTGAAAAAACAGAGACAATGTGTTTTGACAAGTGTTTCGCGGTATATTTTGACAGTTCATTTAGCAAACTGTTGTACGAAATCTCTTTGATAATTCAGATAGTGTGTTGTTTGGCTTTCGTCGTTAGATTAGTCACGACTCTGGATACAAAGTACATTACTCTGTAGTATTTGTTACTGGTACATTTGTTTCTGTTGAGTTTTTTCAATAATAATATATTAAAAGAGAATTTTATTAATAACTATTGCTACAGATTTATACTTGTATGCAAACTGAGGCTTGTCACGAAAATCCTTTCATAAAATGTCAAATATAATAAATATCAATATTAAATATCAAGTGTTTCATTTTAATTATCCCTTTCCCGTCCCAAAATTACTGTGACCAATGACATCCATCAGTCAATTTAACTTTAACCATAATCAACAGATGTCAGCAATAGTGAGATGTTGGAAATATTCTACCAGTGTCTACGATGGCCAGAAGATAGGTCAAGAATTTTATTACTTGAGCTAGACGCTCTATGTACTGCCTACACTATCGTAGATTTCCTAGACGAAAATCTTTTAAAATATATTGTTATCTTTTTAGTCCAAGACAATGACAGGGATCACAATAGTTTTTATACAGTGATTTTGATTTCAGAAACCAACAGTCAACCGACAGTGCTACTTAATATTTCGCTAACCTTGGTCATGGCTGGTAATAAAATACTATGTAAAGAATTTTAATTACATATAATATACTACTATTTGTGTACAATGAAATTATAAATATTTTCCATGCCATTTGTGATCGAAAGGCGATAACATTTTGTGGCAGCCACCCATATTGTTTTGAATAATATATTTCATTGTATACTGATTCTTATTGTTTTCTTCTTTCCACTTCTCGTCTGCCTCTTCTTTCTCCATGATTTCTTGAGATACAGCCTTTGCTTTAAATGGAAGTCTTTCTGCTACTATTTTTAACATTTGATGTGCCTGAAAATGACAACAAAAACTGAACTATCTATTGAACTGAATATAATATAGTGCATATTATTCTGATTCATCAGTAATCCATTTTACTAATATTATAAATGCAAAAGTTTAGATGGATGTTTGTTTGAAGGTATCTCCAGAATGGTTGAATAGATTACAATGAACTTTGGTATACATATAAAACATAGTCTGTAAGAACACATACGCTAATAATTATATTTTTTTATTAGCACTCAGACGGAGACACCAGCAAAAATTATTTAATATCATAAAAAAATTCGTCATGTAAAGAATTTTTTTTTTACCTCTGCATATTCACATTTGCCTCCTACTTCAAGTATAATTCTGCCAGCTTTGATTGGTGTGACATAATGATCAATAGCTCCCTTGCCTCCTCCCATACGTTGTCCTTGACCTTTCTTTGTAACTGGCTGCCAAGGAGGATCCACTCTCCAAATGGCAAACATTCTCTTCATATCCAAATGACGAGCTATAACCAAACGTGCCATTTCAAAATGTTCATGTGCTAATCTGCCACCACCAAGTGCCTGTAAAATTGTCATATGTTCAAAAGCTTTTTACTGGATAACAATCAATTTGCAATCAACAATTTTTAATTGTACACATCCAATGCATAAATGATTTAAGCCAAAATAACTTACCACAACACCATATTGTTTCAATTGAAGTTTGTTATGTAATAGTTCTGGCCCTCTCATATATCTCAATCGTTTTTGCATCTTTGGTGGTTTTAAATTTGATGGATATTGTGGCACCTTTTCAAACATCCGCAGTCTTGGACGCTCCGGTATTTCAATGTCTAAAAATATTTTTAAAGGTGGTAATTTAAGCAACCTTTTCTAAATAGCATTTTTGTCTTCGAAGAAGTTATAAATATTTCAAACAAATTGTAATTGCAATCACACAAACTAAATAGCTAATATCATAATTTTCAACACAGAAGTCGCACAATTTTTTTCTTCACAATATAAATATGCAGAATCAACCCACCACATCCATACCATATAATAATAGATCACATTTATAAGTAAATTGTACTGAAACCACTTACGATCATAATTTTTTGGTGGAGGAAAATATTTTATTCCAGCATTGCATGTCACTTGAATACATTCTGGTCGTAACAATCCTGAAAAGATATTGAATTTGACCGTGACAACTGCATTTTAACACAACTTTTAGACAGACAATATATATTTTTTGAAGAACGCTAATATTACGATGTAATTGGATGAAATTGGATTTTGCAGACTTCAAACGATTAACTTTACAACAGAATTCTTACCCCATGATTGTTTTACGGTACGGATTAACATATTTCTAAATTACCCTTATAGATTTTCTTGCGGAAAACAAAATTATATGGAATTTGTAGGTTATATACCCTGAGCTGACAGTGACAGCGTAACAGGCTGACAGTGACACTTGTAAATCAATTTCACAGATAATAAATATATTAAAATGGCTACAGTACAGTATACAATTTGTAAACTAGCAATATAAAATTTAATTATTCATTGCCTCACCGGTTACCATGGTTACTATTTTGACCATACATTGCGGCGGTTTTTTTAACGTCGTGTTTAAGCATGTTTGTAACTTTTCCCGCAATATAAATATTCCATGCTGAAAAAGCTAAATTGTTTACATTTGTTAGCCGTGATATGGTGCAGAACTTATTCTTATTTAAATGGAATATCGTGCGATGATCCGTTTACAAAAGTGTATATATTTTAATCAATATATTTATGCTATTTGGTTTACTGTTGTAATATTCTTCCTGTATGTAAAGGTAAAGGAGCTAGTGTAAACCACCATACCCATTGGGTTTGCTGTCATTCTTCAAACATCAGTACTCCAAAAGAAATTACATGTTTTACATATTTTCAAGAAATTAATGAAGGTGTTCTTTTGATTTTAGCTTGATAAGTTGGATCATCTATCTAAGTATTTATCTGTGACATCATTTGTGTTGCTTTTTATAATTGAAGTCACAAGGCTATACTTGGCTCATTATGGAAATTTGTCTTCCAGAGTAAGTCTTTTTTCTAATTACAAAGTAAGTTAGATTAAGCTCTCATTTAACAGTTGGCAATCCATTTATGGATACAATCAGGTATGTCCTTAGGTTTATCTCTATGAAATCCAACTTGAATAATCTACCAATGTTTGTAAACTAAATATGTTTTTTCCCCTTCTTTAAGGATTTTAAGTCTACTTTTTTGTTTCAGGTACCTGAATTGGCAGGATTTCTTATGCTTACCATATTAATGCAAATGCCACTAGTTTCATTTTTTGTTTTCAATCCATATCTCTTAAGTACACATACAGAATATGTACTACATATTTCTTTGTTGTTAATAACTGTATTGGAGATAATATTTGGGTTTTTAGCTTTAAATCATGCATCATCAGTTGCTAAAAGCATTTATTTGTCACATTCAAGACAGGTGAAATATTAAAATTAAGGTAACACAATATGCTTAAGAATTCAATGATTTTTGTTAAATATGACATATGTCTGTAAATATGACAGCTTAGCTATATAAACCCAATGTACATTCAGTAATAAATAATTCTTTTAACAAAAAAATATTGTTTTAAATATCATAGGATATTTGATTTTTACAGACATATGGACTTTGTAATATGGTCTTTAACATACACATCAAATTAAAATCAAAACAATTGACACAATCACTAAACTTGTTATTGTCACATAAAAAATAGTGCTATGTATATATCTGTGGTTTGTATTAAACTTACTAAACATGGACATAAACTAACAATATTGACTTATCAGAGCACCTCATATCTAGGGTCGGTAACTTATTCTAATTATGTGCCAGTATCAAATATAATTTCATGTTAAAATATATTTTTTTATAATTTAGAACTTCAAGTTTATTTGTAATGTGTTGCTCCAACATGTATTTCAGGCTTTATAACGAATTTTTAGAGATATAAACCTAATAGGGACATCAATCTATATCTTCTTATATCATCCTTATTACTAATATTTCCGAGCAAAATTTTGATTTTCTTATTCAATGGTTAAGAATATTTTTATACATGAATACAAAATTATAATTTCTATGTTAATAAATACTTGACAATTTTTAATACTTTATAGTAGCCCCTTTAAATAATTTTAACACAGCACCTATAGTAGAATCTTAGGCAAATTATTTTCCTAATTACAAAACTTTTTGGTTTAATACTTTGTATTATGGAACAAAATTATTAGTAAATAAATTGTTATTTTCAAAGAACTTGTCAATTTCCCATCTTACTAAATGTAAAGCTTCATTAAAAATGGACAATTTTGATTCAAATATATTTATATTATTTTCAACTTCGAATGATTTTATAATTTGTGGTAATGTTGGCGCCATTCTGCACATAGTCTGAAAATAAATGATAATTAAATTATTATTGCATATTAAGTATTAAATACTGCAATAAGCAATAATCGTGAATGCTGAACACGACAAAAGTGTTATTAAATTTTTTTATGACAATATTAACTACTAATGACACATAAAATTAGTTTTCCGTACAAATTAATATATACATTGCTATGTTACATGCCTTTATCACCCTGTCCTTATAACATTCATATAATGTTTTCATCCACTAGATTAATCTATCTTCCATAATTTCAGTTGTCAATCCCATTTCATTATTATTAATCATGTCACCTATCACCAATAGTTCCCATTAAGTAATTGGGAAAAAATACCTAAGTACAACTCCTGACACGCAGTCCATCCATCCCTTCTTAAGCCTACTCACTCTACCATCATATACATATTTAATGTTCTCATCATATACCATTCTTCCACCTTCATAACATGCTTATATCATGCTAACCTTTGCTTCCAAATTTCTTTACCTATTGTGCTACTTTCAGACTTCCTTTAAATACTCCTTTCATATCTTATCCATTTGTGTTACCCCACATATCCATTTTAACATTCGAATTTCTGCCACATGTACGCGTTACATAACTTTACATTAATAAATTTAGAAATTTCCTTACCGTGGGTTTCTGAGACCTAAAATCCTGTTTAAAACATAATGTTGTTTCTGTTTTGTCAATGATAATGCCAGGGATGACAATATGTTTTATACAGCAATTTTGATCTCAGAAACAAATGATTAGTCATCTAAACAAATGCTTACATTAAAGAGTTGTTGTGTCATCCAACCATGATATTTCTTAACAGAGCCTTCATAAGCTGATATATATACTTTCTTCATGTTAACTTCATTTGGATCTGATTTAAAATTATCCAAGATTCCATGAAATGTCAGCTCGAAAAATAATAATGCTCTGAAAAAAAAATCATAACATTTATTATTAATAAGTTGTAATCGTTCATAATTTATATAAATACATTGAATTGGCAAATCTTATCAAAAAAAAGGTATTTATAATTAACTTGTAAACTTTGTTTCTCATTGGACTATAAACATTAATTTAATAGATAGCTTATCATCACTTTGCCGAAGTACATTAGATTTCGCAATAAAAACTATTTAAATAGCTATCTTATCAATGTAAAATACTAAGAAAAAAATATTTGTACCTGTTAAGCCAAAGAACACCTTCTGCACCCAACGGTTTCCCATTTTTTACCTCTTCAAGCATTAATTCAAGCAAACAGGAGTTTTCATCATACTTGTAATATTTGTTTATTTTCTAAAAACCAAAAATTGAGGTTAAAGCTTAAATTGTACACAAAAAACATAATTTTCTTTTTTTTTTGTGTATGTGAATTCATAATTTGGTCCTCATCATACTAGAGGATAAACAATTAAAATTTCTAGGATGAAAATGCTGCTCGGGAGAATACTTAGCATTTTTATATAGTCATTAACTTGAGTATTGCATTACCTATAACTTAAAATATCAATAAATTAACTGTAGTATTTTGAAACTAGTAATTTTAACAATATAATAAAGTAAATATATTATGTTATTAAAAGTAATGAAAATACTTACATCAATATTACCTTGTATGTCTTGCTTTACTGGAGTGAATATTTTTCCAAGCCGATCTGCAAAGCGCTTAATATTTATATCTAATATTTCATTTAAAATATATTTATTAAACATACTAAACATACCAATTAAAATCAAAAGATCCGATGATGCTTTTATAAATAATATAAAATTTATTCTTCCGTTTACCACTGATGGGAAATAGTTTATTTCTTCAAGAATAAACTTATTGGGCACAATATTAGCTGCCATTTATAATTCACTATTGTATTATAATTATAAATTAGTCTGAATTAATATTTCTCGGTAGATTTTTGCACTCTTTTCGTAAATTTACAGCAAATTTTTGAAGAGAATTTTGGAACTGAAACGTAAATAATTACATACTACTTTAGAACCAGTCTGTAACTGAAGTAAAAATAAACTTTTCAGTTTTTCATGTCAATGTCAAATTTTTATTTTCCAGTTCCAATTTTCTTTAGCTGTCACATTTATTATAATGTTACCAGCTTAAAAATCAATGTTTTCTACTTTTTGTAAACGTAATTTGCAAGTTATCAAGCTAATATGAATAATTAACTAACATTTGTTTACATTTAAATTATTGCAAACACTGAATAAATATGTCTATACGATACTCCTATTTTAAAATTTATATTTAAATAATACTGTAATTAATATCAAACTTAGCACAGCAAATATTACTTTAAGAAAATAAATTTTGTTAGCTAGAAAGCGTTATACATTTTTCATGGCTAATATTAAATTGAAGTTCTTAACTGAAACATGTTAAAGTAAACTTGTGATAATGTTTATGATGCTATTTTACCACTTTTATTGTCTTTTATCACTTTTAGAGTTCAGTACGAAAACGTTTGTTTAAGCACGTTCCCCAGATCATCTTCCACCACAATTGTTAAAACTTTACTTTTTGGGGAAAATGTAAATGGCACTAAAAATCGTTTTTCTGGCAAAAGATTCGTAAATTCGTACGAATCTAGCACCATCCCATTCGATTCATCTCTGACTTCAACTATTCTTATGCCGGCTGTTGAAATAATCATCATTCTATTTTTATCAAATTTAAGGTATCTCGTAATGGCTTGTCTTTCTCTACCGAATTCGTTATTAAACCATCTATGGTACGACAGTAAAACTGCACAATTCCGAGTCCAATAAATCGAGTCATTTCCATTCGACTTGTTCATATTTTTGCGTGACTCGGATAGCTTATTCGTTACACTGGAATATAGGCTCGATGGTCTTGTTATTGGTGTAACATTAGGACTCCTTCTTACAATGTCCGATTTCGACATGGACGCAAAGTTACCGAGAGTTGTTTTGCTTCGTGGTCCCAAAACACGTAGAGGCTCCGCTACATTCATCGTAACATTTATGTTACGTTGTAGAGAAACTGTGGAATGTTGTACTTGTTTACCGTTAAAATTATTCATATTGTCTTTTGTTAGCATAGATCTTTTTTCTCCAACTAAGAACACACGATCGATATTGTCAAAACCTCTTCCCATTATACCGTCTTTGGTATGGCCAAGATCGAATGTATGCCCAAGTTCATGGAAGACAGACCCTAAAGTGGTTGCGAAACATCCTCCTAATGTATTTCTGTATCCACTGTCATCCATAAATCTACGTACGTTTACAGGCGTGCTGTCTAAAAATTTTGGTACAACTTCTTCGACGCACGTGGGCCATGTATACAAACATGCGGTGCCGAAAAGTGCTAAGCCACCGCCACCTAAAGCTGCATAGGCTTCAGTCAATGCAACGATTTCATCGTGAGTCATTGGCTTGTCAATATCAGTACCTTTATATCGTGTACAGGAAATGAATGCTAAATACTTTCGTTCATTACTACCGAGATCTGATAGCATTATTTCTCTGCCAAAATGGGTCCATAATTCTCCTTGTTTCATCTTTCTCGCTTTGTTTACATTCAAATTACTTTTAAATACTATACATTCAGGTTTCCTGGGGTTTACTTCATGTTCCAATTGAAATGTTTTCCGTCCAACGCCACTTTCATACAATTTTTCGGCAGTTAGACTCTGAATTAATTTAGATCCGACTGCCACTCGTGAGCACCCACTCTCAATTGAGTTATCTACATCGGGCGGACTTTGAAAGCAACCATCGTGACCTTGGCAAACAATGTATAAAGGAGTAACTCTCAGATTAGTTTTCCGCGGAGTATAATTTAGGAATAGAGTCTTGTGATGCCGTTCAGCATATTCCAAATCAATAACATTGTCTCCTTTCTTTAACTCCACCAATACCTTAAATTCCCTATTGTAAACATCCCATTGACTATATTTTTGTGTATCATTGTTTCTGAATGTGCACTTTAATTTCTTGTGATTGCTGCAGTCACCGGATGTTATAATTCCTTTGATGATAGCGAGCGAGTAGTTTATGACGTCTCCATTTTCAAAATTTGTGATGAATATTGCCGAGTTTTCATTTTTATTTTCTTCCAACATTCGGTTGTCCATCACCTGTAAATTGTCACATGCCGAGTTGGTTAATACAGTCGTCATATTTGTTTTTATGCTGCTCTGTTAGTCGCAAAGTTTATTTTGTATTCACAGTTGACATATTAATTAGGTTAAGCGGTCACAGTAAGCGAGGAGTCTTTTCATCTGCCGTTTGATAAGTAAGCGTAATTCAATACGCATTACAGGACAGCACCGCGAGCGATTGCGTGCAGATTAATTTATAATCGCAAAGGTCGTCATAAACGAATAGGTTCGCACTTTGTAATGACTCACCATGATGCGGTTAGCGTGTCGCTCGCAGAGCGGCGCGGCGGAGGGACTGCGGGCGGTGCGGAACGGCGGCCTCTCGCTGGCTAGCGCTCGCAACGTTCCTCCTCACTTCCCTCCAGGTCGCGTCTCGCTCGGGCGGCGCCAGTGCGCATGTCCGCGGCTGCGGACCGACTCGGCTCGGTAACGATTGCACACCGGCTGGCAGACTTTCCGGCTCCAGCGGCACGAGGGAAATTTGAATGATGCTCCGATAGACGAATGTGAATGCGTCACTGCCCTATCATACTTCCCTTTGTTTATTTTCCTGTCTAGTTATTCACGACGAGACTATTTTCTATTTTCGTACCCATAACAAAGGAGACAGAATAAGAATCACAATAACATACATATGTGCGTTTACTTTGCTCGCTAATAAGGTTGTTTTTAAAGCAACTTGTTTCACTAAATGTTAAACGAGTTTTGCAAGTTATATCGATTTAACAACTTATAATAAACGTTTTTAGTCAATTTAGTTCACTTATCGAAATTGAGTTTTTATGTTGCGTATACTTCGATCTACACTATTGTTTATCGAAGCATTTACCACACCTTTCCCTCGTTATCTGTTATATTAAGATTTGGTATTTTATTAACTCTGAAACTACTGAACCAAAAAGGATATTTTTACTACTCAAGCTATTTTTAATTATTTCTTCATGCAAAATAAATTTTCATCGTAAACTGTAGTGGTGTGCCTATTAAATTTTTATGAAAAATTCACACTCATAATTATTTTTACGTTTCTAAGGAACATATTATTTTGAACATAGAATAGTGATTTAGATAGAAAATGAAATAAAACATATAAAATGGGCAGATTAACTGTGGAAACAAAAGCGCCTGTTAAATGTTGCACACTAATGTTGCTCGTAAGTAAGATGGCAAACGTTATGATCAAGGCGAATCGCACCGTGTAGTATTGATTTTACTTGCCCCTGTTGTTATTTCCAGCGGCTTCAAAATTAGCTGCATTGCTCCCTTTTACACCCTAGTGTTGAGGTACTTTATACATCATTTTTTTTTGTTTTTTCACAGTGAACGACGATAAGAGATAACTTCATGCTAAGTAAATGATACTGGATGATATATTTTTAATTAATAACTGTAATTGTATACAGGAAATCCAGTGATTTAGGCGTTTATTTTTCTATACTATAATAGTAAAGGGAAAAGATTTGGTTATTTCTATAGAATAGGCTCTGAAACTACAGAACCGGTTGGAAAAATTCTTTTACTGTTGGGAATCTACAATATCCCGGGTGATAGGCTGTATTTATTACTAGATTTTTTAAATTCCGCACGTACGAAGTCACAGCCAACTGCTAGTTAAGTATATGTGGAAGGAGGAGACGTACTCATCTTCATCAGCTCACTATACGTCCCCACCGAGGGGCTCGGAGCCTACCCTAAGTTAAGGGTGATTAGGCCATAGTCAATCACGCTGGCCAAGTGCGGGTTGGTTGACTTCACACGTATCTTTGAATTCCTTCTTAATATGTGCAGGTTGCATCACGATGTTTTCCTTCACCGTAAGAATGTCGGATAAATGACGGAGACGTACTATAAAAGTATTATTATTTTATATAGGTCCTATTACGTTTTACTACATTTCTTATTTGTTCAATATACACGGATATCTGTAAGGTATCTATTTTTCTCCTTAAATATGTTAACTTATTATTAGGTACTCTATGAAACATTGCAACTCCTGAAGTAGATTTAAACATCATTACCGGTTCCTTTGCCGCGGTATCAACATTGCACAGCGTATGCGCGTTAACGCACCTCTTGTTTGCAAAAGTGCCAAAAGCCACTTTACTACGTTAATGTTGCAGTGGTAAATACGTTTCGTTATATACATAACATGATAAAGTGCGTGATAATAAAGTATGGAAATTAATTATGCATGAGTTTAACTATATATTAACTGAAGAACATTGATATAATAATATGAAATACGGACGTTTCAGTGCATTGTAACCGTACAATTGTGTGATAGTAACTTGAAGAATACAGGTTTTTCTTTCGTTCGGATGTTAAGTGTAACGAAATTACGTCTATTTTAAGTACCTACTGTTAGTACTGTTAAGTTCAAGCTATTTTTCGTAGAATTTATTAAGTAAAATATCTGGAACCGGAAAAAGAGATTGTCTTAATCGATAGATTGCCAAAGTAATAGAGCCACCGTCGCCATCATCAACAAAATGATTTTTCAGAAACCGCGCATTATTTAATTCCACGAGCAATAGGTTCAATGACTTATAATCGTACCTCTACAAGGTCTAGATTAGTACAGTTAATATGTACATTTGTTTTCTCTCAATTATTGACCTAAGAGGTAGTGGTTATTGTCACTGTACAATAAATAAAATGTAAGATAAAAGCTTAATGCAAGTGTAGCGTAGGCGATGCGCGTGCGCATGCGGTTGGTGACGTATGCGGTGATGAGTCGGGTGCAGCAGCGCCCGTGTGGCCTGTGGTCGGTGGCCGGTGGCCGCGCGGGACCCGGTCGTTGTCCCAGTGAACGCGGCCACTTTCGCTTTCATCGGCGAACGAACCCGGCCCATTACTACCGCTCATACAATTACACCATCGCTTCACTGCTAGCTTTTGGCTGCGCTCGTCGCCACGGTATGCATACTAATCGGACATTTATTTAGGGTTGCTGATGTTTAGATTTCTCCACGCTGTACAACGTACGGTTCATTGTTGTTAGCTTTGTTTATTGAATAAACATATTGCGTTAGGTGTGCCGTGCGTGTGCGCCAACGAACTGTCAAATTGTATGCGTGTATAATATCGTTATATGTAAAATTCATGAGCGTTGCTGTCGTATCATTTATAAGTATATGAATTTGTAAAGCCCTTTGTCAGCATTGCGTTATTGGAAGTTTCAGATCTACATATGTACATATATGCACAAAAGGCAAGAAATTATACTGCACTGATTCTTCTATAGCTTACGTTTAAACTTATGCTTATGTATATATATGGAAATGAACTGTTTCATTTTAAAAATAATTAAAAATTACTTTAAGTTAAATCTCGAAGTACTACTTGAGACTGAAATTTATAGGTATGCTATTACGAAAAGTCAAAGAGTGAGAATATTTTTGTGAAAGGATATATTTTAATGACGTTAGGATTTACCAAACTTATTGTGTAATCGGACATAAAATGTGAGTTTTTTCAAGAGATCAAGTTATGTGTGATTTATAATCACGAAAAAATATGTCATATATTGCCCAATAGTAAAATATAAATGTGTAAAGGCGTAGTTTAATTTGTGAAATTGTGAAATTCTCAGGTCAACGAACAAGTTACGCGTTTGACGGTGTAGCGGGCGACTTGAATTTGACCAAATCGCCTTGATATTTTGGTTTATCTTTTATTTATTCATACCGTAATGTCAGCTATTTTTAAGATTAGATCGAAACTGGAATTTGACTGTAAATTTTTCGGTTAACAAACTTCAGTCGTTATTTCAGTTACGAAAAAAATGTATTTCTTTAACTGCCACACTCAGAGTGAGTTGTTAAGTTGTAGTCAACACGGAGTTATGGCAAATACACTTATATTTAAGCCTAGATACCTCCTGTATCTAGATATCTCGGGTTAAGATTGATGTTGTAAGAGAAGAACTTATTAGTTGTAGGAAAGTAATGGCACTTTTTTCATTTATTTTTACATCTAGACAATTTTTTATCTACGGTAATATGAACAATAAAGTCACGATACGAGTTAAACATTATTTTGATGTGAGTATGGTAGGCTACATTCGGATGTAATTCTTACTGCAGTCTTCTTATGATAGCATCAGTAAAACGTCTCATCTGATATACAAAGGACAATTTAATTCGCGTTTATATTAAAATATTTATTTTTATACATTCAGATTAAACAGTATAAAAAGATAAACAATAAGAATTTTCTTTTAATAAATTGACTTAAGATATAAAATAGACTGAATCTAAGTAACTAAAAGAAAATACAAAATATACGTCGGACGTAATCAGAATTGATCAAACTGATAGGCAAAAGACAAACTTACCATCTTTTTCTACTAGAATATTTTTAATGTGTACAGACATCGTAGCCCTATGTATCGCTGTATATAAGTATAATGGCAATCTTACTAATATAAATGTAAACGTTTAGATGGATGGATAGATGTTTGTTTGAAGCTATCTCATGTAGAACGTAGTCAGGAAGAACACACGCTCTCATCAAGGTTTTCTTTTAATTGCACGCGGACGGAGTTGCGGGTGATATATATATATATGTGTGCGTTGCTACTAGAAGTTCGATTAATGTTTTACATATGCACATAGCTTTACATATACCTGTGAACAGTAATTATGGTAGCTGTCTGTTTCCAAGTATAAATGTGATAATGCACTTTGTATGATGAATTTTAAATATAACATTTGAATCGAACACATTGACCTAGGGTACGAAGCCTCTGGTTAGGTCGGAGCGTGCGCGGCATAATGAATGTGAAACTAAGCGAAGTCCTGCAATTATTTTAGCAATTATTTCAACTGGCATCTTTTCCTGCTCGGATTTAAAATCTTATGGCGTCCTTAAAAATTTAAATAAAGTTTTACTATTTTACGAAATTCTATGTTCATTACGTTGACTCACTTGTAGAATATGCTTAGAATACGATACTGATGAACGCGGGCATATTACCTATACAGATTTTTTATTAATCCTACGCTAACGAAGTCGCGGGCGACCGCTAGTAAATAACTTTTTTTATATCGTTTATTAGAAACTAAATACGCATACCGACGTACAGAAACTGTAATTAATTTAAAATTGATTTTAGGTTTTGTGCTTGCTCTCTATACATATAATTTTTAACAGAATAAAAAGCGGTAAACTATTGGTCAAATTAAATGAAGCGTATGTTAAACGCAAAGGTGCTTATGCTAAAAATGCTTTCTACCAAATCGGAGTTCTTTCACCACACATAATTCATTCTAGTTCCGACGCTTAGGGAATTCCCAACAATTATCTTATGTAACGAATAGGCCGTTTCATGAATTATTTATAACTCATTTCAGACCTGCGAGTATCGTAGCCAACTACAAACATGTGCTGACTATTATTTCTCTACGACCAACTGATCTTTATGACCGTATACGGATAAAAAAAAGAAAAAGTCTATGCATTTCCTTTTACTCGTTAGTTCCTTCCGATCTTTATGCGTTAAAAGTATTTGATAATACATCCCATATTAATATTTAAATGTAGTTTTTTTACTCTTTTTGTATTGTAGTGTCTTCTT